ACATCTCCTCTTTCTGAGGAGTACCCCATTGATATGGATGAAGTGTAAGTGCTCAAAATGATTCCAACTCCTTTTCTTGTCCTGTTTCCCTCCCATCCCCTTCCAAAAACCAGAATTAGTCGCTATTTTTCTCCTTGTGATCACAATGAACGATTCTAGACTGGAAGATTGAAGTCCCGAGCCTCCACTTACAGACATTAGGAAATAATATCACCAAAAATCTATTTTCTTTACTGTGAGAACACCTTGCCCTAGCGATATTGGCTTATTATTTAGCGTTGCTATCAGGCACGCAAACCTAAATGCCAGCAAGGTGTTTGACACCAGGCTTCTTGGGGAAATTTGTCCTGCTCAATGGAAGCCAATTTCACCAAGATCAAAGCTTCCAACGTGCCGCAAGGATTCTGCCGTCCCGTCCTGAAGCTGCGGAAGAATATTAATTAGGATTTGCGCTGTCAAATGTCAGGGAAAAGAGACCAATTAAGCACTTGAACCCGCCTCCTCCAAAGGAGGTTTTATAAAGACAGGCTTTTGATTAGGAACTAGTTTTATTTTTCCACTAATTAAAGTTTCTTATGAGTTGTGTTGGGTTAAGGAGTTACTTGTGCATATACCTATGTCATTACCAACACATTTAATTTTCTAGAATGTCTTTGACGATGCCTTTACCAGTCCCCGCTCCAAAGGGGCTATCCCACAAGTTGTCTGCCTGTCCCACTCACTCAAAGCTACCCCAAGGAGCTGCTTAAATCCCATTTCTGGGTTCACACACCGTTTCTGGAATAACCCCAGAGCCTTAAACAAATTCAAGAGGTATTCTTGGCTCAACCACGGGCTCTGAAATGTAATGTGTGCTGTGGGGACAGGGCTGCCATCAGGCCAGCCAAAGGCATTTTTGCTCAGAGCAGGTCCAGCCCCACATCCCAGCTCTGATTCGGTTTTCGGGGCTACGAACCGCAGAGGTAATTCATGCTGAGACACCCTGCTGAGAAAAGATGATTTAATGGAAGAGCTCGCCCCGGCTGACGTCTCGCTGGGGTGAGGCAAAGGCTAACGAGAAAGCTGTCTGAAGGATCAAACCTCAGCCTCACGGCTTGCAGGGAGCCACCTCGACTGGAGAGCCTGCTAGCAGCAGGAAACATGCAAATCACCCCGATGCCAGAGCCAGGAAAGATACGGTTGGAAGGGATATTCTAGCTTCATTTCTCCATAACCACCTTCAAATCCATCCCCTGACTCCCTCAGCTCTGCAGTCGGATGGAATAAAGGATGGAAGACGATTCCTCCAAGCCTCAACTTGGGCAGCGTTAAAAGCGCTACCCAAGATGCCGGCCAACGTCAAGAGCTGCCACCCAGCAGCAGAATCCCACCGTGCTAAAGGACAAGGCTCCTAGGGGATGCGGCCACAGATCCACGCTGCTGGAGAAGCTTTTCAACAGGACTGCACCTCGCTGCCTGCCTCGGGGAGCCAGCTGCTTTCCCAGGCACGTAGCCGCTCGCCCGTCCATCCCAAGGATCGATGGTGGATTTATGAAGCCCGCGCGAAGCAGGGTTTTCTTCTGCTCAAAAGAAAGAACAAAGCCTTTTTTTTTTTTTCAGGCTCCTCTCAGCAACCTGGAAGCTTAGGGGGAATAGAGAAAAAAAAAAAAAAGAGAAGCGGGATGACAGCAAGAGTACATTAAATACTAAAGAGAAGAGAGGGCAATGAATTTTGTGGCCAAGCGTGGCTGCCTTCCAGCGCAGCGCGGAGATTTTCAGCAGCCAGCTGTAAGGGAATAAGTAAAAGAGCAGAAGGAAGAGCTGCTGCTTCTCGGGTGGAAGGGGTTCCAGGATTTGTAACCCCTCTGGATCAGAAATTGAAGGATACAACTCTAAATTCAGCCCAAATCCCATCCTTTGTTACACAGCTAATTGGGAGGCCAACCTGGTAACAACATAGGGTGGAAAAAAGGGAGGATTTGTCCCTCTTCCCTTTCCAAAGGACCTGTGGTGGTCACAAGTCAAATATTTTGCTTTTTGGCTGCATGTGACAAGCCAAACACTCCAGGTATTGAAGTGATAGATTTGATTCCTGCACACCTACAGCTCACAGGAGATGAGGTTCAGCTCCTCGACGCGATGCCAACGCTCGATTAAACAACAGAAGCCACCTAAACTCCCTGTACCTTTGAGCAGGGTTAATTCCCCATCACCGGGCATTATCTTGCAGATAGCCAATAATCCTGCAATACGAAACAGCTCGCGAGACAGGGAGCCAAAACCAACCTAACACCATGGGCCAACAAATAGAAGAGGATCTGCTCTTGGCAGCATCCCTCGCGCAGGTTCTGGTTGCAACCCAACAAAGATCACTGCATGAATTGGACCGGGTATCCATCACCAAGCTCTCCACAAGCAGATATCCATGCAGGTACGTCAGCCAGCCTTAGAATAAATATGAGATGATCCAAAAAAACAGCAGCCAGCCCCTTGGATGCCTTCCAGACTTCCACGCGCATCTGCTCCCCAAATGCGCAGCAACCAGGGCTGCGCAACTCAGCACGGCTTCAATATTTGGTACAATTAATACGCAATTAAACTTCGTATCGTTACAGTTGTGTTCTCAGAGGCGGTTTTCTAATTGCTGTAACATCAACAAATCCCTTTTTTCCCCCAGAATGTGGCTTAGTGACTGGTATCACCATGCATACCTCTGCTAGTTACGCTATAAATTACTATAAAAGCAGCTAAAAAACACCCTGATATATTTATTTCTCTCTCCAAACACTCTCCCTGAGTGGTTTGCACATCCCTACAAGTACCAGGGGTTTTCATACAGGCTGCTCAAACCCTCGCACACGAGAGCATCGCCTCCTCCCTGCGTGCCAGGGGGTGGGCAGAGCTCCCGGGGAGCCTGCCAGGGATTTCATTAGGATGCAGAGCAGACAGAGCAGCCCCTCGGTGGCTCTTCCCTTGTTTATTTAGAGCTGCGACTCCGCAGCCCGTGGCTTGGTTTGGTGGTTAGGTTTTGCTGTCGTTTCCCCCCCCCCAAAAAAAAAAAAAAAACAACTCCCATTTGCATGATGATGTGCGCTGCGCAACTCCACCAGCACCATCTCCGAAGACTTTCTGCACTTAAACTAATGGCCCATGTCATACATCAACGCGAATAGCAATGAAGAGGTGTCAGGAAGATCTCCGTTTTGAGGCCTTTTGTTCTACGGGACTGATTTATGAGGCAGTTATCTAATAAAAAGCTCTTACCAGCTTTCAGACGACCAGGGAAGTGTTGCCTATTCCGACCCGACCCCCTTTCTTTAATGGATAACTTGGACTCGGCGCTCATCAACTCCTTCCCGTGACTGATTCCCCAGCCATTCCGCATTTCCTGGGCTGCAGAAATCTCCAGCATTTTGCAGGAACTCCCAGCTTTTTGCAGAGTGAATTTTGTTCCAGTTATCATAACTTAATCAGGAGTCAAATACCTAAAATATTGGACTCTATGTCAGCAGACAGAGGGCATTCAGCCTGGGGATGCTCTGTAGTTTCACGGCAAACCTGAGGCCATGTAAATGGTCCTTAATCCCCTTTCAGTTCAGGCTCAGCTACGTGGTTCCTCCTTGCATTCACCAGGGGTTGATGTTATGAGTAGAGTCTCTGCTAACGAGCTAGGGAACAAATAAAAGACCAAAAGCTTCCCCAATCAAAAGGAAAGCTTGATTTAAGGCGTTACAGCTAATCTAGCGCAACACCCGTAGCAAAACGGAGGCATTAAAGACTCAGCTCTTTCAGGATTGTGGCTATAATCAAATTGTATTGGTGACATCTCACGCTTTTATTTCAGAATTACTGCTCTGGGTTTACCACCGGCTCTAAATCTCACCAGAACCAGGCCTTTCAGTGGCTTCCCAGACACGTTTATTGCGGGGATGGCATCAAAAGCTTCAATACACCAAAGTTTAAAGACATAGAAACCAGAAGCACGGATCCCAAACTACGGGGTTCAACAGGCTCCAAGCAGGATTTGCTTCTGTAATCAACAGAAAAACGAGCTCAAGTTAGCAAGGACATCAACCTGAATTCCCCAAACGTTTATAAAGCCAGCTCTGGAAGCTGTCTTAGGTGGAAATAATGGCTTAATATTAATAACCCTGCTTTATCCCGACAAGAGGCTGAGCAAATAACCCGGCCCTTCCCTGGGAAATCAACTGGAAATCAAACCTGCTTCTGGACCCATTTTTGGGAGCCCCGCGAAGAATTAAGGTTATTTAAAGAGCCTCGGAGAGAAACCTTCCAAAAATGGCAAGGGTCATTTCGGAGGAAGCCCTGTTGCTAGGAGACCCCGATGAAAATCAAAACAGCCTTTATGTTGGTTATTTGGAAGAAAAAAAAAAAAAATCACAAGTGTCCAACAAGGAACGCACTCAGGACTGAAGTTATTGGCATCCCCCGTTAGGCTTCGATGCTTAACGGAGGTTAAAATCTAGAGCTGGAATAATCAGGAGCTAGGTATTCCTGATTTAAATGCCTCGTCCTGCAGATATTCAGCAGGACCTCAGCATCCAAATGAGGGATTTAGCCTTGGAGCTCCACCAGCTGGTGCCCAGATTTTGGGTCCCAGAGGTCCGACCTTCAGCCAGCAGTTCCTTCAGCTCCAGAGACAGCTCTCCAGATGATGAAACTTCCAACTTTAGGAGTATTTCTTCTCTAACCACGTGGCACTTCATCACCGAACACTCACACAACCTATTTAAACGAGACACAGGCTGGGGAGCAGAGAAGAGCTCCCATTTTCCTCCTTCCCCAGTTTTCCCCAGTTTTGCGCTCCAGACGATCCAAGCCTTGTTTTACCCAAGAAAAAAATACGAGGTTTCATCATTTCATCGCCTAACAGCAGTGCTGAACGAGCTTTAATTTACAGCCTTAAAAAAAACCCTAGGTAGCTGGTTGAGAGGCAAAAAGGAGGGACGTGGGTTAATGGAAAGAGGCGAGGGTTCAAGCGCTCAGCACGGCGCGCTCACCCTTTCGGAGTGCTTCAATTCCGCTACACAGCCCGGGAAATTTATTCCTGCAGTCATGCATGGAGGATTTAAGGCTGGCAGGTTTGTATTTACGGCCTGTTGCAAAAAAAAAATCAACATCAGTAGCTTTGCTTGAAAAAAACACCAATTTTTTTAATTAGAACAAAAATAAAACTTGAAACGTTCCACTAAGAGACATCCGAAAGTTTTTTTTCTATGGTTACTGAAGTGCTTCAAGGTCATATTTGTTGTATAAATAAGTGAACTTCTTACTCTCCCAGTATAATACATAAGATTTAAGTCAATTCGTGTGATTTCTGCGCACGCATTGAATTAAATCCACGCAACCAAGAAATAAATGCAGAGTGCTGGGTTTTACAAAAGCCGTATCACCTGGGTTGGATTTGAAGTCCTACTGGATTTCAACGTGCTCTTTAGCATTAGGAATTCAGCATTTATGGACTCACTGGGTTCTGGTACTTTCTCCACCTTCTTTTTTCCCTCAATTATTTCGCCCTCAAGTCCCTGAGAGCTGGAAGAAGTCCACTGCAGCCCTCGTTGCCAGCCCACAAATCAATGCAGGAGCCATGTTTGCCATTTTTTAAACCAAGCAATAACATCCTGCTAGTAAGCAAACAACGGTGGCAAAGACAAATTACAATGACAATATTGGATGGGACTTTTAAAAAAGGATGCTAAATTCAAGAAGGGTTCCTAAATGGCCATACTGACCATATTGAGGCAGCTGAGGGTATCCTACCTCCTGGGTTCCTGATTTCTACAATCCTTTTTCTTATTTCACACGCAGCAAACTATGCTCTGACGCCTACTAACACAAGAGGTATTAATTCATTCCCCTTGGCTGGCCATGCCGGGCACTGCAACGCTCTTAAAAACCCGCAGTGACAGCAAGGAAGTCACATCCTCGTAGCCCAGAGACGTTATTTATTTCAGAATATGGGGAACTGTTTTTAAGTCTTGTCTCCTCGTATCAGGTACATCCTTCTCTTTGTAAGCACATTAGGGCACGCACCAGGAGCCAAGAAGTTGTGTGTTTTCTTACCACAAGGGGAAAAAAGGCATAAGTAGATTTAAAAAAATGTAATTTTATTACCTTTCTTGAGGATTTCTGTCTAGGCATGTTGGGTACAGATTGAAAGCTTCTAGCAGAGCACGAGCCATGCTGCCAGTGTGTGTGCTGAGCATCCTCACCTCTTAGTCTCATTTGTTGGCATCATGATGCAGTGAATCATGCATGTCCCAGCCCATTTTTGTCACCCCAAAACCTTCCCATTTAGATTTAGATCCCAGCAAGGATGCTGTAATGGGATTTCCCATGTTCCAGTTTGTTCCCACTACAAAAGACTCCAGCTTTGGCTTCAACTCTCCCATCCTACATCGCACCAAGCCCAAGGACAGGCACTCCAACTTACTTCCTACACGTTGTCCATAGAAAAATCCAACATTTTTTTCCATTTCTGTTACAAACCTTACCTTGCCATCAAGATTTAACAGCCAGATCAGCTGCAGGACGACTGAAACCCCCTTGGTTTGTCCCAAGACTGGGGGCAGGATGGATGAGAACTGGGATTTGTCTTTTGGGCGACACCAACTCTCCGGAGTTGAAACATTTCACCTATTCCCTTTAGGAAAACGTCCCCACCGTAATTTTTCTGTCAATTACTGCAGGGCTGATTGAATTTAAGAGGCAAAGCTTGAGCCAGCTGCTCATCGGCAGCTGGTTTAAGGAGCACCAAGTGTTTAACATATCCACAGGCACACGTCCATCATCTCCGCGCAGCTCCGGAGAAGCAAATGGTGCGGGAACACACCTCCCATGAAAGCTGGGCTATTTTTTTCCCCCAGCGAAAGCTTTGTCAGATGTAAATACGAGATGAAATACCTGCAATTGCATATGCATTACTGTACTTTGCAGCTTGCCCACGTCACATGGGAATTGCCTGACAGACCCAAGAGTGAACTAATGGGAAGAAAACCCCCTCAAGACCCCCTCTTTCCTTTCAATTCCTCCCTCTTCCTGCCCTTATTCTTCCACATCCTCTTTTTTTCTTTCATTCTGCTGCAGTTGCCCCAAAATACAGCAAGGACACGAGACGGTGCCAGCTCTAAAATAAAAAAAACCCTCCCTGGGACGGAGCCGTATACATAATTTATGGTGCGTGTGCTGTTGCAGAAAGCCTCGTGCGCAGCCCCGCATTTTGATATTAAATGGACCTGATTAGTTGGGTACTTCATCAAACCCCAGTCAGCAATAATCAGCTAATAAAAGTTTAACGACGTATGGCCCCGAAAGTTGCACCACCGTGATTTTGCTCCCTTACATCAATACAGACAACACAGAAGGGATTCTCTCCAGGGTAGCCTAAGGAAATTATTAACTACTATGTGAGTTGCAAAGATTTCTCCGAGTTAAAAGCAGCTTAAAAGAGAAAAAGTGCTAAATTTAAGCTTGCAGTTTCCACATTAAGCTAATTTCAACGAAAATAAAAGGGTTTGAACCTAATTGACTCTGGAAAGTTGCTGCTTTAAGGTGTCACTGAGCTCTTTGGCTCTTCAACTCTTTTTATTTTTTGAGTGGGGAACGTTTCATGCTTCCCCTAGTCCTCAGAGATGTCCACAGCTTCCATAAAATCTCCAAAGAGAGCACCTTTAAAAACATTTAACTTCAAATATAAATGTTTTTAAGTGCTCTGCCCCAGAAGGGGTTTTGAAATCTCTCCCTTGGCTAATATTAAAATTCCAGGCTTACCAATGGACGCAGCCATTTAACCACTCGAGTGCCTTCGGATGGCTAACAGAAACCCTGGGAATTGACATTTATTCAACCTAGGAACACACAATTTGGATTTTTTTCCCCCCATTCCCTGCTCTTACCGCTTCGGAGATCACAGCGGGGGATCCCTCGAAAACAGGTTGCCGCTGGCACGTGCCAAACTGCACTCAGCGAAGGATTTGGCATTTCGAGTGCCAATTTAGTTGCCGGGCAATTTGCATAATGCCACACGCGGCCCGGGATCCGTGTCAAAACACAAAAGGCTCCCTAAACCTTCTGGAGCATCAGGAAGCATTGCGAGACCCGAATCAGGAGTGGCAACCAGGCTGAGATGGAGTCACCTCCAAAAAATCAGAGCTTTTTATAAATATTACATAGAAGAATAATACATAAATATCATATATAATAAGTATTGTATAAAATAATGTATTAATATCGCATCTAAAATATATATTACACATAATATATGTTATATATTACATATAATCATGTATTATATATAATTATGTATAGTAATACATAAAAATTTATATAAAATTATAATAGTCCCATATTGCTCAGACCAACAGATCCCTTCTGGGTGTTTCTCAGCTAGCAGAAAACCCCCAATTTAAGAGATTTGTAGGAAAAAAGCCCAATTTAAGAGATTTGTAGAAGAAAACCCTGATTTAAGAGATTTGGAGGGATCCATTCTCTATTCTCTTACCTATCCAAGGCACCCTTTGAAGAGCTCCAGACAAACCTACGGGCACAGAGGGTGGCTCGAGCAGGACTGCTTTATAATCCTTCCAACTTCAAAGGAGCAGAATTACTCGATTAAAATGCTCGGTAAAAGGAATAAAATAAAACATCCATACTCATGCTATATAATTAGAGGTGGGTGATTAGTAAAAGAAGTCCACTCAGCATTTTTGCAACGTATTTTGCTGGCAGCTGGTGTACGAGCACCAAGTATTTATTTTGCTCTAAGTTTTAACCTAGAGCAAGACTCGAAATTCAGCTTTAAAATCTGCATTTCTCTGAAGTCTAATCCACCCGAGCAGGAAAACCTATCCCTCGAGTCCCTTGGAAGTGAGGGATTGATTCATGGGGCTGTAATAACCTTGCACCTTGCGCATCTCATTCACTGCACTGGGTCATTTAAACTTGGCTCCCATTTAGGATCAGTGCATCCTACAACAAATATCCCTCCTTCAGCCCTCCCAGATGACATTAAAGGATGGGTTCACAAAGCATTTTCATCCAAAGCAGGTGGGAGTGATGCTACCCAAGCACCTCGTCTTCCCCTCCACCCAGTTCACAAGGGCTGGAAGCGTCACACGAGCAAGCCACAGAGCCACCAAAGCCCCTCTGGTCGTGGCTTTGACCACATTTGGGGTCGGAGAGGATTTCAGAGCGCACATCTTCCACGGCACAAGGCTGGGAAGCGCTTTCCAAGCAGCCCTTCAGCAATAAACACCCTCAAATACTCCAGCTTCCCACGTAACATCAAGCCATCCATCCTTTTTTTGTGCAAATTACAGGTTAGGACCACTCCGACTCCGCATTAGGCAACGCACAAATGCCCCTTTTAAAGGGGGAGGAGATTCCCATCCCCGGCTCCCAAGCACAAGGCGACGGTGTAAATAAAGGAGTTAAAATAAAGGAGTTCCACTAAATTACAGTGGTGTCACTGGAGGCAAACGTGAGTACCTGTTGTTATATTAAGTGTGAAGAGAGCACACTCAGAGCATTTGGAGATCAGGGAGAAAAAAAAGGATGATTTTGGTTTAACAGCAATAACCCATCCTCAGGTTTTCAGCTCCTTGAGCCAGATTCCTGCCACCTGGCCATAAATCTTTGGGGTTTTAATTATGAACCACATGCTTAAGACTCACGTTTCTCCCCCCGTATATACTCTGATAGTTTTGTCACTAAATTATTTAACACGACGCATTTGGAAACACGTAAAAAATGCCATGAAGCTATTTCCTGGGCCGATACCGTGAAGCACTGCAGAAGCTATACACGGAATTCGGGAGGCTTGTGACAAATCCTGCCAAAGGGAACAGCTGAAAAAGTATTTCATTTGAGGAATAGCCATCAAATTAAACCTATAGCCAGCAACAGTCCTCTCTGTGAACACTGCACAGCCCAGGCTATTCATGCCCTTGTATTCCTGTGGGTTACTGGATCATTCAGATGCCTTTGAAGAGTATGGGGGAAAAACTTTAATTAAAAAAATTAAAAAAACAGACTCACGTGGCAGTATCTCCCATACAATACTTGAAAACTGCTGGTTTGGTCAAATATTCTGGTTGTTTTACTGTTGTGATCCTATAGAGACCTTCGCAGATGATGGAGCGAGCCCTGGTCAAGGCAGGAGAGCACCACGTTAAGCATCGGATGTGTCTAATCAAATTAAAAAACCTTTCTGCCTCGCACAGCTTTCAGGCTGAACAGAAACAAAATGCAGAGACTCAACGTCATCCTAAATGTCATCCCGCTTTTAGAGGCGGACAGTTTGCTAAAATAATCTGTCACAAGCTCAAATAGACCGAGTTCACCATTTAATTCCTTACCTGTCCTAAGAACCCTTCCTTTCTGAATCAGAGACAAGGAAAAGATGAACGGAAAGCTAAGCCCTGCCATAAAGCAGTCTCAAAACCATGAATTTGCAGAATCAGCATTTCCTTTGAGACATTAATTGTGTCAGGAAAAAAAAGTTTTTCATCTTTTTGATCCAGTCTGCCATACAGAGAGCAGAGCCAGCCCCATTTCTCAGCACCTAGGCCTGCCGAAAACACAAACTCCCCTCCCAAACACAACTGTGGCAGCCCAAAACTTCACCAGGGATTAAGGTCGGATAAGGTTTCAGCGAGGATCTGTTTCATAAGGCTGAGCTCGGACTCCAAAACCAGCAAGTGTTATATATGGGTGAAAAAAGGACAGATGGAAAATTCTGCGTTTCAGGTGACATTTGGTGGGAGTTCAGCTGAAATCCGTTGTTGTTATGCTTGGGAAATGAAAAGGGCAACAAAGAGCGGCGTGGTTAAGCAGGGATCTAGAGATTAGCATAATCAATCATGAAGCTTTACTGGAAATATGAACGACTCCTCAAAGGGTACGGAGGATCTTCGGGATCGGAGGCGCGGGGCTGTGAGCATCCTCAGGACAAAGAAGCTCCAGGGAAAAAGGGCTTGCAGATTTTCCTCCCACGAGGCATGCTGAAGGGCAGGAGCACCCGATCCAGCAGCCAGACTCACTCAGGGGATGTCCACAGGTTCGTTCAGAGTCCTTCGACCTCAAGGACTTCAAGGTTGTCCAGAGAAAACCGCCCTCGCTCACTACGACACCTGCCAATGACCCTACAAGCAGTAAGGGAGAAGTCCAAAGAACTAAATGGAAAGATGCCGTTGTTATGGGAACACTTAGGTTTTGTTTCATCAACTTATTTGCCTTGATTGCTTTGGTTTCTTTGGTTTTTGATTCAAGTGTTCTCACCTCCCGGGCATTGTCCTGGCACTGTCCTGCCTAAAACGCAACTGAAGTTATGAATGGAGCCTCCCAGACACCAAATACAAATGAGAAAGGGAAAAAAGGATTGAATTAACATTCAATAAATTAACCACCCTGAAAAAAAGATGTTTAAGCTTTTAACTCAGCAGATGTATTCCTGGCTTATACTCGTGTTTCTAGAGATTCAGTAAAACAAGCAAAAAAAAATGAAAATAAAAGTAAGAATTTTCCTACTCCTCTGTTTTGGGAGCTCTGGTCTTTCAGCACAAAGGCATTCAAGTTAATAAAATGGGAACTAATCGAGTTTATTTTACAATGGTGAAAGATATCCAATGACACTGGAGATCACGCTCCAAAGAATAAGTAGCAAAAATGTTTAAATACCTAGAGATTTTACCCAAAGCAGGTTAAATATTGTTGTTCCAAGGGGTATTTTCTATCTATTTAGATTTCTTCAGGCTTAAAATTCAAGGTTTTACCTCCTAGCTCTGCCAAAATAAACTTCAGGAGCTTTTTATAACAAAATTGATATTAAAAACCTGACACTTTTGGCTGAAGGTACATCAAATTGGAAAAAAAAAGACATGAAATGAAGGAGATATCCAGTACGTATTCCATTTCTTCATGCAGCCACAAGTTTTCAGAGATCAAATCTGCAGATATAAATAACAGTAGGCAAAAAGCAAAGCCTTTTGGTGAAAAACAAAAGGGTTTGAAGGACAGGTGGCTTAGGAAGCCCACAAGACACCCTCCTGCTGCAGGAGTCGCCTGGCGGTGTTAACACCCTCCAGCAGAAGCCAGCTTTGGGAGAGGAGCGAAGGACGAGCAAATGGAGATATCCTCAGCCCCCACGTGGCATCTGGGGCAGGAACCAAGCCCATCATTAGCCCGGCAGCACACAAGCGGCCGATAAGAGATTATTTCGGATCTCCATGGTTATTAATCCCATCACAAAAGCAAAGGGGTCAAGCTCGGCGCACGCCGGCAGCGTTTCGGGAGCTCCGGAACAAAGAGGCTGAGCAAAAAGCAGTCCTGCCCTCCGAGCCCTCGTCCTTTAAGATCCCAAAGTAAAGACCACTGGCATCTCCGGGCTTTCCAACTGCACCATATTAATGTTTCTCATCTCTTTTCAAGACCTGAGGCTTCACAACCCTTTGAGATTTTCACTTTCACTCTTCCTTTGTTGGAAAAGTGTTTTTCATCTGAAGCCATCGCGCTGAAGACCTTGAGTCTGCCTTTTAAGACAGGCTCAAGAGCGAAGGGAGCTGTTTCCTACCACCCCATCCCCGGGCATTTTTCATCTGGGAAAATACATAAAAAAGGGAAATAGGAGCATCAAATGATATTTAGGTTGAGAGGAACCTTCCCAGTTTTAATTAGAGGCTGGGAGTCTCCACCGAGTCATTTGGCTCTTGCTGGGATTTATGAGGATGCGCTCATTGAACGGAGTTTGCACCGCTTAAAAATGCTTTAGTGGGAGTTAAATACTCATGATTTACTACGTGGATTTAGGCTTAGGGACATCCCCTCTCCCAAAATGTTTGGGGACCAGAAGAGGATGCAACACGTTTGCTGCCAGGTTGAGCAAAAGCACCAAGTTGAAGCACAGAGGTCGGTGTTACTGGTTTGGTGGATATTGAAGGAGCCCTAACGTACCTGGTGTTTGCTTCCACCTTCCTGGTTAGTTCAGCTCCTCCCTGACTTCATAAACCTTTAAAAAAAAAAAGGTTTTCCAATGGGAATACGATTATTGAACCGCTGAACTTGAGAGCGCGATTTTTTTTGGACAAGAAAAAGGTGAAGAAAAATGAAAATGAAACGTTGCCTAAGAGGAAAAGTAAAA